AGTGTTTCCCGAAAGTTAACTTTGGAAAATTATTAAAACTTTTGTGGAGATTATTTCCTTTACAATACTAAAGTGCAAAATGTTGTGCAGGCCTGCTTTCGAGCCAAGAACCCAACGTGTGGAGGCACCAGCGCGCCGGTGTCAGCCGAGTCACCGCAGCCGGGCGACCATCTCGCCGGCGCTCTTGAACCCGGCTTGCCGCGAGGAAATACCGTTGACCGCAACCTTGTCCTCTGGCCGCACCGCGGCGCGCCGGTTCGTCTGCAGCCGCTCGCGCACCTGCGTTACGTCACCGGGGGCTGCCGCGCCGTTCAACTGTCGCGCGGATGACGTGTGCGGCCGCCGCCTGTGACTAGTGACGCGCGGCGAACTGCCGCGTTTCTCCTCGCACGGCCGGCGCTTCAGTCAGTCAGTCGGCGTCTGGTAGAGCACGCGATGGGGCTTCGCGTGTTCACCCTCTGCCTCCTGTTGCTGCTGCTGCACGTGGGGTTGCTGTCCGCAGCGCCGCAGAAGCAGAGGTCAGTTGAAAAGCGTCGCTCGTCGGTTAACCGTGCGGCACACGCGTTACGAAACGGTATTCAAGCAAACGCGGTGATCTCGCACATGCATTTTCTGAAAGTTTAGCTTCACAAACTGACTCTTGGGTGTCTCAGTCATAAATACGCTTTAAACACACTTACTAGCATTCAAACTTTAATACTTTATAGAACTATATTGTTTAAATATAGATTAAAAAGTTGTATCGGTTGTAAATTGTACCGCACGTTCCAGTCTACAGTGTGCAGAACTACACGCTGTTTGATTGATATTAATCTGAAGATGATAATAGAGAGGTTCTGAGGACAACGGCGTTCTCAAAAATGTCTGTGTCGTTTTATTAACGCAGGAACAAGTTATCTGATAGATGGTGCGCGTGTGCCAGGGGGTTAAATTGCAGTTCAGCGCAAGTTCATTTGCAGATCGGTTCTTATCAACACAGGTTGTAAATTGGAAATATTTTAATATCAATAAAATTGGAATATGTACTATTATAATATTTATTTATTACCATATCGATTGTGATACACAAAATAAATGGAAGGGCGTAATACCCATGGAGACACATTATTTCTTTCAAATTATTTTCGCAAAGGCTTAGCCTGTGTACGAATCTGAACAAAATCATCTTGCGTATAAAACTGAAAGTTTAAATTAAACTCACTTTGCGATAATGATGTTTTAAATGAGCATAAAGCTAACTACACAACACAACAATACATTACAAAGTATTGACAATTATATTTATAATTTAAAAAAAACACTTGAGCTTAAGTAAAATCATCGAACTAAAATAATCTCGATCATAAGGAATCTTAAACCACCAAAATCATGTACAGAGTACCGACAATAGATTGCACATATAAAACTGCTCTAAGAATAGAACTCTCAAGTGATTATTGGATGGTAATGGAAACGTTCACATACATGTGGAATGTAAAATTCTTAAACATATTTTACGACTAAATATGATACTATGCATTCCATCTTCTATATTATACACAGTGAGTCATGTAACTTTAGCACCTCCTGTATTTTTTTGAACGGTTGAAGTTATTGTAAAGAAGTTTTCACAGAAAGGCATGAGGGTATGGGGCTAGTTTTCAAATATACGAGTACACATTTACATTCTATCACTTGCATAATTACCAACGCATTTTATGCGAATG